TTGGGTTCTCTTTACCGAGAGAATGTGCGGCTTGCAATCAAGTTGTTCTTCGTGGCTGTCTATAATCGGGTAAGAAATGCTCCATTCTCCTTGCTTCTCAACCATCAAGACTAACTGAGATTTGTTGTGAACATTTCTAGAACTGTCTAGTTGGTCCGAAACCAAAGCCAATAAACATTGATCATCTGCCGCCCAGAACGGGGTCACATGAGTTTCCAAATGCGGTAGCGTTAGACAACATTCCACACGGACGGGATTTGAATCAGTTCCAGTGTCCAATTCGTTCACATTTATAGCATACAATTCACACGTTTTCGCATCGATTTCTTGAATCTGTAGAAATTTAGCTTCGGTAGAACCACCGGATAAGTGAAAACCGACTTGAATACCGAATTCGCACAACAGCGCTCGGGATTGCAATGACCAAATCACATTCACTGGTTGTGATTCATACCCCGGAGGAAGTTTCAAACCGACCAGGACGTACTGACCACACGCGCTTAGAGTAGCTGTTACCACTTGGCCTTCGTGTGTGAACAAATCTGTCATCCGACCGGTGCTGCAGTCAAACGCACCTAACTCATCACTGTGCGCACAGTGAGCTATCGCAGAAAACTGGGAGACCTGACTGGGGAGAATGTTTGTAACTGCTTTTGATAGGCGATCGATCGGACAGAGCAGGGCTTCGTTATATGTGTGTGCAATACTGGTCAGAGCGGTAGTGAGATCCCACATGTATAATTCTTTCGCAGATTTGGAGTAGCCAATCAATAGTCGTTGAGTAGAATCCGTAACAAATCGAGTCAAGGAACCGACAGGTGCATAGAAATTGGTCAACAGACGATTCAGTCGAATATCCCACAAAATGACTGTTCGAAATATACAAGCAACAACCACACGATCGTGTAAAGCGAATCCGACTGCCGTGAAACTTAATGGTTGTGGAGCTTCGTTTGGCAACCGGATTGTGTGTGGCATTCCAACCGGTGGAAATATATGTGTCACCAATTGGTCCGCGTGAAAATCATAGACCAAAATTTGTGTGTGCGCATGAATAAGCAAATACGGATTCGAGTTGGCCAATAGAAAATCCACTATCCGGTCTCCGGCCAGACTGTTCTCAAATGAAATCGTGATCGATTTACTCACCTCGCCGTTACAGTTCAATTTCAGCTGAACCAACTTGGCCGAGTGCTCGAATTGTAAAAACAAATTGTGGCCACCTCCGATCCAACTGGGTAGGAGTTTTACCGGACGAATTTCCAGCGTCAAAGCAAACAGTTGTTCACCGGTACTTGTTCTAAATCCCAGTAATACACGATTGGAGTTAGTGAAAAAGACCGCCGAGTTTCCGACATTTTTATTCTGGCCCTCGTTTTTTTCCAGTTGACCAAGTGTGATAAAATTGGCTCTGGGGAAGGGACTCAGAATTTGAACCGGTTTCCCAGTGGTCAATTCAAAAATAACTATATGATTGCTAGTTCCAGCCGCTAAGTGCTCCGTGAGAGACGTATCGGAGGAGTTCGACGCGGAATCCGTCCGATGACCAGAGGAGGAAGAGGAGGAGAAAGAGCGTTTGGCACCGAGTAATCGTTTTGTACTTACAATCAGACCCACATGCTCATCGGTGAGATCCAAGGCCAGCACTTCAGCTTTTAAGTCAGTAATAATCAATCCACAACTTGCAGCGATCCACAAACCTGTGTTGATCTGTCCAATCATTGGGACACGACCATGCGATTCTGCGTCCATCTGGTAGACTTTCAGTGTNTTTCAGTGTATCACTTTGTACCGGGTCCAAAATCACGGCATATTTACCATTTGGACAGAGAAACATACGTCCGTGACCCGTTTCCATATTAGGTAAACGTTTTTGAGCGCTACAGGCAAATCGATAAATAATCGGGTCGTGGTCCAACTTGACGAGCAAGTCATTCGACTCGGAACCAGACTGTATGCACATGTCTAAAAGGGGGCTTGGACAAGACAAACGACCGACCATTGGACTTCCGGGGATATCGGAATACGCGTGAAGTGGATAAATGGGATTGTACCACGGAGCGACAGTCTTGCATTGATCCACCAGCAACTCTATGCCCGTTTTGTGCGACTGTGACGTGGGTACCAAGGGGACAAATGGTGATAGTTGTCCAATGATTTCAGCTGCCAACAAATTTGGATGACCCTGTAAGAGTGGAGCACTATTCGCCAAAGCTTCATACACCAAGCCAGACTGAAATTGAAGTTTACTAAGTGATTTAGTTGAATCTTTGTTTGGAAAATAGTTCTCTATTTTGGGAAACAAATTCAAAAGTTCCCACATTCCCGCTGCAAACATGGTGGAGTGTAACCATTTAAAACTGAACCAGGTATGATTCGCCCATTCGGTCAATTCACCGGTGCGGAGGAGACAAAATCCAACTTGACGCAGATATCTGACATTGTATTCCAGTCCGAGTGACGGAAACGCATGAGTTTTTTCACCGAGATAAATATTTTGTTTCAGTACGGATTTGGTTCTATCGATGGACAATGCTATGTCAACATTGGGATCACGTGAAGCTTTGAGCTTAAGCGACCATGTATTCAGGAAATAGTCAGCCATGATATTTGCTTCTTCCGTGAGATTTGTGCCTCCTGCTACCAGTGGACTGTTCCAGATAAGACATAAATATCCATCTAAATATTGTTCATATGGAATGACAATGTTTTGTAGAATCGGCGACTGACGTAACGCTGACCAAATCAATGCCCGTTCCGCAGAGTCCAGAATAATCGAGGTCTCCGTGGAATTTACGGAATTAGGGTTTGTTCCGATCGGGTGAAATTGCTGATCAAGAACTAACAAATTATCCAACTCCGTCTCTGTCAAACCGGCCGGAGATGTGTTGTCCATGCTAGACGAAGCCAGATACAAATAGCGGATAATCTGGTCGATAATACGAGGTGAAAAATGGGGTGAGTAACAGCTGATGAATGCCGACAGAGTCTTGTTGTTGTCGTCAACCCATTGCACAATTTGTGTACTTTCAACGCGGTCATCAGATCGAACAAAACAGAGCAACGATTTGGTCAGAACGTAGCTACAATTCAACAGATCACGTCGACTACCAAGCTGATCTAACGCTTGATACAACTCAGTGATTTGTTCCTGAGTCAGAATCCGACTGTTCTCGGTCAGGGCCCCCAGACATACACTGATCGCATCCCGAACGCTCGGTGGAGTGATTTCCAATGTCAAGCATGTTTTAGGCAGAAGCACTGATGTTGATGCACCTTCAATCGTGGAGAATGTTTGCACCTTTCCGGCCAAGATCAGTTTTACTCCCGGATGAAGTTGATGTGGGAGATGGCTTGCCTCGGTTAGAGCGATGCTAGGAGTGGTCACGTTAAAGTTGTTGCTATTGGAATCAACAATGAGATGCACTCCGGCGAGAATGAATAGAACAGGGCGTTTCGAGTGCGAAGACAACTGAACACCTACGGAGTTTAGAAGTGTGGACAGGGTGGTCGAATCAAACTTGTCTCGACTCTGGCACAATGCGACAGAGAGTTGGTCTGCTAGATAAGCCAACAATCTTGAAACTTCCATCGGCTTGGTGGCATTGTGTCCAATCAGAACAGCCTCGGCAGATTCGGACAGTGTACGATGTGCCTGTGGATAGATTTAAAGGAAATATCAAAAGAATTGGCCAATATGGATACAAGAGCTTTTTACATATGCACGACCGCAATAGACAATTACAAAGTAAAAATACCATTCGTTCGAAGATTTTTAGTCGGTTTTGGTTGCATTTACTATTGTAATTTGGAATGCTGGCTAAAACTTTAGGTGATCCAAATACTGCGATTGCCGGAGTGTAGTTCAACTTGGTCGTGAAGCAGTTTTTCTATTTTGTTTTCGAGAAATAAATGCTCCATTCTAGTTGACTTGCTGATTACTTCAAACCGAGGAGCCTGAGTGTGAGTCAAAACGCATCATCTGGAGCCACTGGAGCGGTTTAACATTTTCTCTAGGTAACATGGAGCTCTCCAATCTTTCTCTATCACAATGCCGACTAGAATAGGGCATCGTTGGTCTTCTTGTTTAATGTCAGCGGCTTATCAATCTCAAGGTATCTGCCAGCTCAGGTGACTGACATAAGGTTACTCTTTCCAAAAATATGCTGTCAATAAAAACATACGAAAGTGGTCCAACAAATCTATCTCCGGAATGATCTTCACTTCTAATTAAAAACTCTTGATGGCCTTGGATGTCGGTTTTACTCCTTGGAAGATCGTTAATTCCCCACAAGTTCATGCATTTACATGTGATGGAAATGTTTGTGATAACCGGCAAAGAGCGCACTGGACAGCTGTTTCGTCTTGTTTGGGACTCGTCAGTAGCGCATACTTCGTCTGTCCCTGTCAGGACTCGAACAGCGAACATTCGGGTTGGGACTTCAAATGCCTATCCCTGAGCTATACGGTCGACGGTGATCATCTTGTGCGAATGGTTCAGGAAGTACACACGACTGATTAGTCCCAAACTGGACGAAACAGTTGTCCAGTGCTGTGACGGTTATCACAAACATTTCCATTGAAGACAAATCAATATCGTTTGCAGTTACTATGGTCATTTACAACTCTTTAAATTTCGCAAATGCATTTCCAATGGTTGATAAAATTTCTAGGAGTGTTTATCAGCTCAGATCCGAAGGAATTATACATAGAATCAATAACTCAAACGAACAAGTTTCCGGGGGTCTGGTAGTCGGTTCTCATTGACCTTTTTGTGTAGGTCTGGCGTAGATATCGTTGGTTTCTCGTTCACAAATGCCCTGATAGGCTCTTCCATGGACATCTCACGGATAGTAAGCCGCCGAAGTGAAGGACAAGGAGCAAAATCGAAAACTATTCACAAAGCTTCGTTTGTAACGCAGATTAGCTAGTGTGACTTAGTACAGCTTACTCAAAAGTCCATCGCCGAGGTATAAGCGAACGAGTGAAGGTACCACTACGTGAATCGAATCACCAGATGTTAACTGAAATAAGCCATAGTTATCAAATTATTCGCTCCGGCGGTATCTGATACTTGCGTGGCCAGTTTGAGTTCATTATTCACAAATCTGAAAAGAGTACTAACTGAAACCACACCAGTTTTTTTTAAACAATTGGTAATATATAGAAATAATGTGTTCGGCACAAATTTGTGAATTGTGAATTTGATATACGTTCAGGCAACTTTGGTCTTCTTCTAAGGCATTGTTGAATGTTCGATTATCTTTGTAACATCATGGAGAATGGGGATCGGCAGCAAAAGATTCAAGTAATCATTCGGATTTCGAATTGTGAAACACAGTGACTGTATGATTACAGCACAATCGTTGAGGGAATGTGCGTGAAGCTGTCAAAGCAGCCCTTTGGGAGCGAACAGAGTTATCCGGCGGAATTTTACGGAAAGGTTTGGGTATCACATTATATCGTAGACAACGTTGATTGAAGGAAGGCACGATGGTTAGCAAGCTTCTTTCCCAGAGTAATCCAATTGGTGATCATTTTTAACACATCGTGACCAAATGATGTTAGGAGTGTATCGAAAAATCGATGCGCCATGTGTTGTTTTATTGTGAATGTTATAGTTTTAATAACACAGCGAGATCGGCAGAGAATTATATTCGCCGACGTTTCGGTTACCGTGGATAACCTTTCTCAAGGCAGGTTTTACAATTAATGGAACATATCACAAACTGAAAAATTTTATATTCTGTTTGGTTTTTCACAAATAACAATAAACCAATGAAACTGGAGTACCACAGACTTCCTATCCATTTGTACCTATCAAGTGCTCACAACGTAACTTTCAAGGTTATCGTTTGTGTACTTATAAGTAGCACGCTTATAGTTGAAAAAATACCTTTGTACGTATCCAATCCCAGCATTCACTGAAGTGACAATGTTTTTGTGGCAGTGGTAGCAGCAGTAATATTAGCAGTAAAAACGGAAGCGGTTTGAGTAAAATTCATAACCTTAACGATTATATCAATTTCAGAAAGCAAGTACCAGTTTAATCGATTTTTTCTTAAGTTAGTACGAAACTCAAATCCCGTCAACTGTGATCACATTTTCAGCGAAAAAGATATGTTTCTCAGTTTGACGCACATACACGCAAAACGCAATCTATTTACTCAACACTGATTATATTGGCGATGAAGAAAATGTCGATCTTTAACACAACAAAAGTAAAAAATGTTCCGTTTCATCGGACAAACACTTCCTACAAACTCCTCTAAATATGACAAAGATAGGACACAATCAAATTTTAATTTATTGCGTGCAACATAAGTGGATGTGAAGTGCAAGAGAGAAGAGACAGAGAGTTGGATGCAGAAGATGTGAAGTATTATTCAGAGAGGATCCCGGAAGCTGTCCGGTTTGAACTGGAAATGACGGTAAACAGTGCTGCATACAAAACACTTTTGTGGCTGGAATTGCTATTCCACAGTGCGTCTAGTGAGAATAAAACCCATTGAAAACCAGAGTGAATGCAGAGTTCATAATAAATCCAATGACCCAAAATACATGAATAAATGAATTAGACAGTGATATTCCACGACACCTCCCGACGTGTCTTTGGTAAAGTGTAAAACGAAGTATTTCACCGGTTGAGTAACTGATAACAATGTTAGCAATAGGTAATAAATCTGTTCGCATAGTAATATCAAAGTCAAAGACTGCTGATCAAATTTGCTTACAGGGAAATTGTTTAAAGTGCAAAACTGTGGGCTTGTTGACGAAAATGTGAGAAAACGGTCTGTTTGCGGAGGAACCTAACTATGGTTATAAAAACTCACATTTGCTCTATTGAAGTTGTCAGAAACGATGAAATCCAATGCATCAATTAGTATAACGGTGGTGCATGGAATGTATCAAGCAAACCAGACAGTTCACCAGTGAAGAGTACTGTGTTGTTCTTGTTGGGTCAATGTGGAATGCAAACTTGGTTGACCGGGGACACGACTCTGGAACATATGCGAAGAAACCGCTATCCTCGACCGACCGTCCCGAAAGACTTGTCAGTACGAAATAAATCGAATACTTCAGTCTTGACCGAGTCACCATCGATCGATATGTACAACTACTATCAGCCCCCCCCCCGCCTCCAAAAAACAAATTAGTTCGATTCATTTGAATCGTGAGGTAGAGTGCTCAACATGTTTGAGAAAGCTAAGCACGTTTGATGACATAATGAATGGAAACTCGATAGTTTTTTAAAGGTTTCTGTGCCATTGTTTCACTTTCTATACAGGTTTTGATCCACTCACCCATGGCGCTTTCTTCAGATTTTGTTATTTTCTTAATTTGGCGCCGAATGCGCCTCTGTGTGTGTGTGATGACAGTCAGAGTGTTGCACGATTTGGATCAATAGCCCATAAATGATATCGTCCTCATGGTGTCATAAGAAGTGATGTGAAGAGTAAAATCGGATTTGAAGGTGTGACAGANGTGACAGAAATGCTAAAACTGAACTGATGCGATAAATAGGACACGGCCAAATTTGAAACTCCCGCTCCCTCTCCCTCGTGAACTTACTTTGCTTTCCCGCGGCTGGTTCCTTGAAAAGGAAAATCAGGCTCTATGAATGTCTCTGATTGCCGCCGTAGACGTTACTTGTGAGTTTGGTAAGGGAGACGTCCCCAGCGTCACTCGGCGTTTTTTTATTTTGAGGGCGCACATCTTGCTTCGCACAACCAAGTGCAAACTGCAAGGCATCAGGAAGTAAGTCCTAGCCTCGGAAGTAAGGTGTCAATGACTTTAGTTTTAAAAGGCCAGTCATATCGATCTTTGTCATGACACCGTCATTGAGCTTATGTGGCTTTTAAACAGGAGCCACTCACCACACACACACACACACCATGGTAGTGCCCCTGATGTTTGTTCGTGACTGCTTATTTGTTGCCGTATGTCACAACTGATTCACTGTTAACCTTCTTCGGTGAAGGTAACCCTCTATCTACAACCCGGGGACGCGCCTGGCAGCATTCAGCTCTGCTTAACCCGAGGGTTTCCAGCCTAATACTACATCATCCTATGATCCACGATGCCAACACATTTGTTGTAACCATCAATAAACTGGTAGTTTCAAATCGAATACATGCAAAACATTGAATTCATAAAATCTTTGTTTTGCGGAATACGGATGAAATGAAAACAATATAACCGATCGCGAGCACGGTGTTGATACTTTAGGCCTGTCAGATCTAATGCTGTATCAATGAATTAACCTAATATTATCGCACGTCTAATATGTATTTGATAAAACGTTTAACCGATAAAACCAAGGGTCACTTATTTTCTGACAATCTGAGCGGATACGGTGCACATTATTGGCACACAAAAATAGGTCCAAAGTTCCACTGAGCCGTAATTTGGATAAAATAATGAAAACTTTACATTGCACAATGTGTAGAAAGAGCATCTTACTGGAACTTTTAATGGGTGGATCCCATTGCGACATTCATGAATGGGGTTTTTATTCGTCATCATCATTATCATCAAACGGAGGACAAATCAAAGAGCACTGAATGGAATTTACTTACTTCCAGGAATGCAGCACATGCCACCGCGGAAGCCAAGTCGTCAGAGTTCGCGGTGTCATTGCAACCATTCTTGTCTGTGTTGTTCACCGAATAGACTAAAAGTGGTTTCGTCGCGTGTTCATTCATCAAATAGTCTACCAGTATTTGTATTTCATTTTCACGACATTTGGCCAGTGGGGCCAGTCGTTCAATGCCAGCTGCGCTATTCCAAGCCTGATCCCATGCTCGAATAGATTGCTGAAGAAGTCGGGCCTTGATAACTGCTATGTCCGAGCTCACCGGGATCTCCAACGCATTGGTGGTCACTCCGACAGTTCCGTTCGGCTGGGATATCCTCTCAATAGTCTGATTCAAAGCGGTCAATTTTGCTTTCGCCCGAATGTCAATAGCGTCAAAAGCCAATTTTTTGAATTCATCAACAAATTGATCCAGATAGTCCGCATGGAACTGAAGTTTCAATAACGGACAGAGTTGGGAAATTATTCGTGAGGATAGTAAATCAGTTGCGTACGATCAATTTTCCGAATGGATTATTAACACCTAAGGAAAAATGACTTCTTGTGTTAGTTTTTAGCAAATCAAAATGAGCGGATTCCAATTCACTCCGATACACAAGCTAACTTAGGACTGATTGATTGATTGATTTAAACTGACTATTCTTCGAATTTCATCTTCGCGCACAATCATACATTCGGAAGCACTAGACTCGAATTTCGCTCTTATTTGGGCTCATCAGTAGTGCATATCCACCGACCCATCCATTGACTGATTATGATGACTGATTATACTGCGATTCAGCATTTTATGAAGAATTCAAATAAACGCATTGAAATATTACACTGATCGACCACTTTCAAAATGATCATTTGAATCATCCGACTGTTTCACAAATCTAGTGGACCTTAGTTTGGATAAGAAAAGACAGTTCACAAAAATGGGGAAGATTTACTGTTCACAGGAAACAGTAACACTCCAAACATGCATGCTATGCATCTGCCGTAAAATATTTCTGTCAGTGTACCGGAACAAGTGGAAAGGCGAATAAATTTCATTTCAATTTATTTATTTAGGTATTACCATAGATTATCACATGATCACATGATCTACAAAGAAGGGCGAGGGGGTGGGGGAATTTGAAGGAGATTTTATCCCAGGGGACAACCGATTTTATCAGCGGGGTTCGAACCAGATTGCCTTCCTTACACAACTCCGATTTCACAATGCTGTTTGCCATGTATTCCTCAATGGCCAGAGGCTTCTGTTTCAATCTATTAGTGAGAGTGTTTGATAGCGTGAACAAATTTGTGGACGCTGTCTCTGTGGACGAAGTTTACTCTCGATTGGATGTTGCAGGATTAAGCTGTTCAGATTTTTACCGTTGCTTCACGAAGAGCGACTGATATTCTCTCCTCGAAAAACGCCTCGTTGTGCATCCGATCTAACGAGCAGTACAAATGCACACGCAAGCTAATACCAAAACAAAAGACTGAAACCGATGCGACAATTTATGCCTTAGATGCTGAACAATGAGTGAGTGGCTTGATCTACGATCGGACTGTCAAATGCGCTGCGAGAAAACGGGGAGAAATAAAATTTGATAGACGGAATTCTGGGATTCCTATGTCCGCGGATTGGATAATTCTTCAACACCTCTTTCTTTGCAGTTAACTGTCTGATTTCGATTTAAAATTTGGTTACATAAATTTTTCTGACTATTCGTATCGTCAAAGTATATCTATTGTCTGAGTCGATTGTCTCTTCGCCCCGTACACTACACATGGTTCATAAAATTTCGTTTTTTTTATCAGTAATTTCTTAGGTAACTGCTAATATGTTGAGGAGGGGGAGAATGTTGTGCGTGCGCGTGTGTGTGCGTGTGTGTGTGTGCGCGTGTATGTGCGTGTGTGTGCGTGCGTATCTGTGTAGGGATGGTGCGAATACAGAGGTTATTTGAAGTATGTTTGTCTGAAGTAACAACAATTTCACGCAGATTCCGTGGACTCAGATAGGTTAGAGGTACAGAACTGTCGTGAAGGAACAAAATAATGCAGTGCCCTATTCAAGGAGCACCACCGATATCTATTCACCGAGTCCACTAAAATTCCAGTAACAAACACTGGTCTATATTTCATAAACAAAAAAGGCACAGTTCCAAGTCGCTCCAGATAAACAAATCTGTTTATTTTCCACAGTGTTGTCATGACTTCCGGGGTGGAGAAACAGTACTCCTTGAACTAATTTACCGCTGATCATGTTCTAATTAACACGCATAGGAGTACGCGGGCGCCTACAAAGGGAGACAAAAGGAGAATGTGAACACATCTGCGCATCTGAGCTGAATAGCCACACTGTGCCTATTTTCTACTAATTTTTAACTCGATCGAGTTGTGGAGTTTTGTCTCAGGGAATCAATCGCTTTTGGCTAAATGTGGCTACAAAGAACCCAAGTCTATGCAATAAGTCCCTCTAGGTGGATGCTGAAAGACGGGAATGCTAGAAACCCAGTTTCACATTTTGGTTAATTTCCGTTCCGTGAGACGTGTTTTTAACACAGACACAAAGAACTGGACCTTTAAATCAACACCCTCATCAACTTCACACCATTGAGCTGCTCATGGCAATATACTGATTGTATCATATGCTGTGTTTCATAGTGCTTGATAGAGATCTGAACTTTTTATTTAACTCGTCCTAATGGGGAAAATATTTGTGACTTAGACACAAAAAATACCTAAAGAGTCAAACAATTGGTAAATCAGTACCGTTAATTGAGATTTAACAAATCAAAGCAACTTATAGATGGAGTAGCTTTGCACAACTGATGAGCTCGAACAAGGGTGAAACTCGAGTCTGGTATTCCCCGAGTGCATGGTCGACTAAATGAATGAAGGATTGTATGAGGAGATAAAATGTGATGAAGCTTTGTAAGTCTAAATCGAAACGAATACGATTAACTTCTACCGATCAATATCAATCGATCAGTCTGGCAAGTCGAAAAGATATATAAAAACAAACCTTCCGATCTATTCCTGATGGATTTCTCCACAAAACTTTCATCAGGTGCTCTGAAGTTTTGCATATTCCATTTTTTATATGTATATTGACATATTGATTCAACACCACTAGTTGTTCCATCAAGAATGAATCGATTTGTGGATTCATTCTGTTCTTCTCCGAACGAAACAGGGTAGGCAACAAATCGAGGTAGTCGGAAGCACCGGCTGCTTCGTGTTTGAATTGATCTACATCAATTATCGAACGCATCAGGGCGATTGGACCGTACGAACCTGCATTGTGTGCAGCGTCTTGAGATGCGATGTGGTCGAGGGCGTGGTGGATGGTGGTTGATAGTTCTGAAAGTGGGTCACGTGGGATAGTTCAACTGATTAGCTAGCTCGATTATTAAACTTATTCACTAGTCTGGGTTCGAATTCTAGTAAATTTGCTAAATATGCAATCTTAATCATACTTTAGAAATAGGAAAATGTGATACCCTGCTTCTCAAGAGTTTTATCTTGGGTGACACGTCTATTTTGTAGGATCGATTCTTATCCGACAAACGAAAGACATAGGACACCTCGCCCTACCCAAACGTACACATAGTTAAACAGATTTCATACTGTCGGCTAGCACGACTACCAGAAATCTTATGTTCCCCTAGAAAACTTAAACGAAAACTCCCAGCGCTTTAGCTTCGACTCGTAGTCCTTTAATCCAGATGCATAAACTTGGACACATCAAAAAGTATCGGAATATGCTCTGAGATCAATCAGTGTTGATACCATTTTATTTTGACAAAGTATTGAAACTCAGTTCTCGCAGCTCAGGTGAATTGAATTCTATTGCACCTGTTCTGTATTTTACGTAACTTCATCCCACTCTCTTGTCTTAGCTCACAACCTTCATTCTAATCTGCTCATCTGTCTCTCTAACGTTGTCCATTTCTTCTTTGTTCTCTCAACCCCTCCGCCTGTTGCGATACATCGAAAAGAAATCTCTTCGCAAATACCGTTTTCTAAATTATTTTTGTCCCAATAAGTGTTGTGTTATCGAAGATCTAATTCTTTTCTGCTCATTCGATGACGTAACAGTTTAGAACTTTTCGTCCATCGTTTTCTTAAGCCACATCGGGATGTGTTCGGCCATTGGGGGACGCAACTGCCTCTCTCTCTCTGCCTATGTAAACGATTGAGCATCTGCACTGGAATTGGTAAATGCAGTTTGATTTGGCGACCGACGGGGCCAATGGTTCTTTCATCCATATCGATGATACCCGGG